CCATATATTTATTGTAAAACTTTTAAAATTTATGAGAAAAACATGCAAAGATAAAGCAAAATATTTACAATCTCCATAATTACATTATAGATAGTAGAGTAGAGGGAAATGTGACCTATCAAATGTTTCCATTAGTCGCAAACACCTTCACATTAAACAATGATCACATTTTAACTTTTTTTGTAGATGCTGATGAATCTCCATAATTACATTATACACAGCAGAGGGAAATGCGCCCTACCAAATGTTTCCATTAGTTGCAAACACCTTCGCATCAAACAATGATTACCTTTTAACTTTTTTTGTAGATGCTGAGGTAATTCAACAGAAGAGTCTATATCAGGAGGGTATGCATAAAATGCCCTACTGTGATCACCACTTTGGTCTCTATTATCAACAACATCTTTACACACCTGGTTAAGGAAGGTTCAATGTAAAAATTACAAAATGCTTCTTGCCTTTTTAACTTTTGCAATGGTCAAGACCACTTTAATGGCCTGTTTATCACAATATATAGAATTAACACCTTGAAAAGTTAGCATTTGTTTATAAATCTACAACTCTTACAGCATTCTTTTTTGTTTAGGAAGTTATTTTGATAAATTTAAAAAAAAAAAAAAAAATTAAAATAATTCAGAGCGGATTAGGTGATTAAAAAATATTTTATTTCAAGAAAATCATAGATGTTTCAATACCTTCAGAATATTTCTCCGAAAAGTGATCACTTCCAAATCTTTATTTTCATTAAACTCATTGACAGGTATTCCTGTCAGCATGCCTGGAAAAACATACTGAGGAATTATTTAATTATACACCTTGTGCTTTATAAAAAAAATCATCAGTAATAAGAATATGCCACGTTGCAATTTAGATGTGTATACTTGAGAAATAACTAGGATTGTATCATGATTACTGGAAAGGAATTTTTTATTAATAAAACTGACCTATTTCATAGTTGAGCATTTTTTCTTGCCTATTTCCCTTAGGCTCCATAACTTTCAAGATGGGCTGAAATAGCCTAAGGTCACAAAGGCGACGAGTTTCATCATAAAACTCCTCACGCATAGCATCCTGTGTTATTGCCAGGAAAATATAAGATTCTGGCTCCATAAGTTTATGGAAAATAGGATATTTCCTGGCCTCCTGCGGTGAAAAAAATATTAAAAACTAATTTAAAAACTTCAATAAAAGCTAATGTTTATATTTTACATTACAATATTTTGATTTGAAAACTTTGAATACTGAAATAGGAATGTTAAAATTAATAATTTAAAAGAATGTCTTTAAATTAACTTTACTTTTATGGAACTCTTTTATATCTACACATCATACTTACTATTTCACAAATCATTTAAAAGCTCACCTGCCACAAATCTTTTTTGATAGATTCTAATGTTGAATCTCGTGCACACAGAAGCGGTACAATGACACCTGTTGGTAGCAGACAGTCCACATTGACCTGCTGTGGCATCAAATGATGCTCCCATAATTCACCAGAACTGGGAGGCATGATTGCTGCCTCTTTTAATATCACAGAAAATTCAGGCCTGGTACTGTTGATTTTGATAAATTAAGGGTTCAGCTTTTGCTATATCTGATTGCTAACAGACAACATATTACAAAAAATAGAAAGAATTAAGAACAAGAAGAGGAATTGAATATCACTAAAATGCAATAATTGAGTTCAATATCAATACAATCAGATGGCACTAATAATGGGGTCACTTTTAATGCAGGGTATTTAACAATCGTTCTTCTGCAAACACCCCCCCCCCCCCAACCAGAAAGTGGACTGACTGATTCCTAGATCTCTGGCTAGCTGTTTGGCCCTCTTGATCAAGGGCACACAATTTCTCTCGGGCAGAGAGAAACGCGTTTGTGAACTTATATTTCCATAACAGTAAAAGGGAGGAGGGTGTTTGATGGGGTGCTGAGTGTTTAAAGAACTGCGTTTATTATTGTCTGGTAACCACATTTAGAAAAAATTATTTAACAAATCATAAAAAAGAATTTTCGACTGGGATTAGTGCCCGCTGTTGACTCCCACATTCCAACTTGGGTCTCTACTGCATAGGGCGATGACACATCAGGCAGAGTGTCACGTATGATGCTCTTTCGGGGGGCTTGGAAACTAAACTACCTTACATTCATCTGCTAAAATTTAATGCTGTTTTTGCGAGGATGACATGTTAATTAAAAAAATAAAATCTGTATAGAACTATATTTTTTCATTAAAAAGTTATGTATTCAAAGGTCAGCACGTTTTTCTAAGCTCATAGTATACTTGACAACATGCTACGTTTACTAGACAAGTTTAGATGAAACAATGGACAGATCGATGTAGAATTGATTGAAATTAATGAAAAAAGTAATAGTGATGATGTTATAGTTGAAGATATGCCTGAATCAGACTATAAAAATCAAAACCTTTACATCAGTAGATAATAAAACCGGCCAGAAGTGTGAGTTGACGGGTACACTGGCAGGTGTTTTTCAAATTTTTTGACAGCCCACATATATTTACATTTTTAGGTGCAAAATTGCATTGCATTAAGTCATGAAACTTTTTCGCCATGATCCTCAAGAGTAGACTGCATTATACAAAGTTTGCACAGACCATTTATAATGGCGGAGGCGGGAGAGGCCAATACTTATGAAACATGCAACTATTACCACTATATAAATCAAAATATTTGATAACTTATGTTTTAGAATCAATTTAGAATGTATTTATACAAGAATATTTTAATTTCAGGTTTAAAATCCCATATGCCTTATGATTTGAGCCTATTTGAGGTCATATTATTTTATAAATTATCGTTATTTGCCATGTGCTTGTCGCAAAAAAAAAAAAAAAAGTCACAGGAAAAAAACTGAAGAAGTAAGTTTACAAACATATAGTCAATTCAATGATCTTTCATTTGATACCGAATTTTGTCTTAACAGCATAATAAGGTTTAAAATCCCATATGCCTTATGATTTGAGCCTATTTGAGGTCATATTATTTTATAAATTATCGTTATTTGCCATGTGCTTGTCGCAAAAAAAAAAAAGTCACAGGAAAAAAACTGAAGAAGTAAGTTTACAAACATATAGTCAATTCAATGATCTTTCATTTGATACCGAATTTTGTCTTAACAGCATAATTTAATATCCGACCTCTCACTTCTCAGACCCAGGGCCCAGGGCGAATAGCCACTTGGAAATGAATATAGGAAATAAAATAAGTAACTCTAAGCTCTTAAAATTTTATTTCCTGAACTTCTGAGTCTCCACGACTATTTTATTATATTTTAGAGTGTTTTCACTCAAGATTTACTATCAACTATCACACTACACAACTAACAGTCAACATCAACAGGCAGGGAAGGCAGGGCTTGCTTGAAGTTGCGTTTGCTAAACTTATAATATAAACTAGGATATTGCCACACCATCTAATGCCGACGGATGAATAATGATGCTCCTGTTATTGTTTTGGAAACTAACCTTTTTTATTTACTAAACAAATAATATTTCATTGAATTTTCATAATGAGGGTTTGATTGCCCTCACAGTTAGATTCATCCGTGTAAAAACATTTTGTCCGCCATTGTTTGAAAACAATAAAAAAAATGTAGGCCTAGATAAATTTGGATTCTCTAAAAACGACATCCACCTATATTTTTAGGAAACGTAATTACGGTACCGGTACTTAGTCTATTGTTACATATCACTGTTTGCTATGGTAGTATATACTTTTATTTTTTAAACTGGGATTTTGAAAACATATTTATAAAATAAATTTGAAAGGATCTTAAAATAATTGAAGAAAGGTACTTCTCAAACTTTAAACTTTATTATTGAATGTTAACAAATTGCAGCATTTTTCTTTCTTCAGTCTTCAGCATTACGTTTTTTCCGAGATAACATCTGCGTCTGAGCTTGCCAAATCGAATTGATCTCTTTCCTTGTCTTAAAGCTGGGATTCTCAACCTGTGGGTCGCGCTAAGACCATAGGAAAACACATATATCTACCGATATGAAATAGTAATGAGAATAATTTTGTGGTCGGGGGTCGCCACAACATGAGGAAATATATTAAAGGGTCGTGGCATCGGAATAGTTGAGAACCACTGACTTAAAGCATTATTTAACATTAAATTTTAAAATTATTTTCTTTTCTATAGATCTATGGATAGTGTGAGGCTTTTCATTAATTTTTTATTCTTTAAACTATTAATCTCTGGAAAATTGTCCTCTGCTTGTTATATTAGATTAGCTCCAGGTAGCTTTGTTTGAGCCAGTAATTGTCACGCAGTTGTAGGACTTAAAAGAGATATTTGGAATAGAAAAAATCTGTCTCAAAAAAGCAAAAAATTATGGTTCATCCTACATATTTTATATAAATATAAAAGTGGTAATAATAACTGAATACTTTATGTTTGTTTTTAAAATTCTCTGTGCTGTTAACGATTTCATTTTTCTTTTATAAATGCATATGGACTGAGTGGTTCACATCCATATCTTACTTTGACTCTAGAAGTTGCTAACCAAAATTTCTATGTATAATGTTAACTCCGAAGATCGACTAGGACCATCGAGTCGTCCGGTGTTGAATAACTGATGACTTGTGCTGGTGACTTTTGTTTAAAGTGAGGAAGAGTTGCGCGGTGTCAACCTCACTCTCTTGTCCGGGCCCACCATGTCCAGTGGTAAGACTATGTCAAGACGACCAGGGATGGGTACGGATGCAGGAGTTGGATTGTTTCATTGTATAGGCTACGCCTTACGGGGGACATCACCTCCGGGTTTGAATTCAGAGTTTCCTTCTCTTAAATGAGTTGCCGACCAAGGTTAACAAGTCCCATCCACCCGGATGCAATGCTTACAGGCTAGATGAAGCAGCGAATGACCCATAATTTGGATAGCTAAATAAATAGCTTATTAAGACATTTAATATGATTTAAGAAAGATGGACAATTTTTTTTACAAAATATGTTTATTTCATTTTTAAAAGGTAGATTTTTGTTTTAAAAAAAAGCAACAAAAGATATAGAACTAAATTTTCAACACATGATTTAAAAAGAATCGCTCTGGTTAACTTCTTTAATCAATTTGAACAATTACACTACCACTTAGCATTGGGTGGGAAGGTCAGTAAATTCCGATATCTCAAGCATATAACTTAAAATTACCAAATAAGCTCGACCAACTATAGCTTTAATAAAATCTCTTTATATTGGATTTATTTTGAATTTTTTTTATCATTACCTATTGGCATGCAATAAACTTAATTGATTTATCAACAAAATTAATCTCTGTATAAGCAAAGATAATAATACAATAATGTACAATGCTGAAAGACATAATTTAATGACATTACTATTCCATTGCATATTTTTAAAAATTAGGCAGATTTTGCCGATTTAAATTAGGCAGATTTTGCTGATTTAAACAAATATTGCTGATTTCCCACTTTATTTTGCTCTTTACCTCAGCTTGGTAAAATGGTTATGACATGAACTTAATGGTTATCACCTCATCCATGGATTTGCTGTTACTTTATAACTGGGTTAGACTTAATGGTCTGTTTGAGTTCATTTCACACAGTCAGACAATCACTAGATAAGATATCATGGTTATCCACATGATGAAAAGGTGCATCCATGGATGCCCGGATGAAGTCATGTCTCATTCCTTGTTATCCAGTTGGTGAAATGCCATTTCAGAGTTTATCTGAAGGTGACATGCCATAATCTTCAGGATGATCCTCCACAATGCTGCTCTTACTGACACGACGTCCCCACCTTTCACACTTGGGGCATGGCAAGCTCTCAGTCATACAGGTCTTGTGGTAAACAGCTTTACAAGTTTTACACTGGGGACATGAAAGGCAAATATATTCTATTTTATTGGAATTAACCATATTTCAGAGGAATAGACATGAACAAAAAAAAAAAAACTAACAAGGGAATATTTACTTTCTTTGTTCTTTCATGGTGTGAAAAAAAATCACATAAAATCAGGGCGATTTCAATGGTTTTGAGATTAGTTTAAATCACAAGTTCCAAACCTTTTTGTTGAGTTGGATGCCATTTTATAGACGTATATACAATTGAAAAGGCTTTTTAATATAGTAAAAGAAAACACATTGAAAAAAGATTTTTAGTACATTATAATGATACTATCATTTAGTATAATTTTAAATTACGACATTTCATTAATAGGATGACTGAATTCATGGAACTAATACTATTTTAAAAAAACAAAATCTTTCCATCTATTAGAAAGAACAATTTTCAGTTGGATGGTGAATACAAATATTCAAATCATCTTATATTTTATGAAATATTTTATGACAACTCAAATGAATTTTTCCAAAAATCAACTTACTCTAAGAGTTGTTTCCACTTCAAAAGGATAGATCACTTTTGGGTTGCGACAAATCTCACAGACAAATCCTTTCTGACTACAGAGTGCACACTCATAGACATGGCTGGAGCCAAACTTGACCAGTTCCTTGACTAGTTTCTGAAGTGTGCCTGACTGCACTTGTAGGAAATCCTGCAATTCAATTTTAAATAAAGAAAAACAATTACTTGCAACAGATGGTGACTGAGGCAATTGGAAATCCTCAGGAAATGTTACATTGGACAGGATATGTATAATCCATTATACCAAACAATTTAACCATTAGTCAAGCTTCAAAGAAATTCTATTTTTATTAAAATTTTTGACGTTTGAAATCTTTATTAGAAATTTATAAAATAGCACAAGTTTCCCTCTAAATATAAAAAAAAAAAAAAAAGAATGTTTTGATGACTATCTGACATTTTAACAAACAGTCCTTTGCTCCAGTCTATAGTGTATTTAACCTGGATTCAAATCACTCAGTTTTGTTGATTGCATACATTATTCAATGAACATTAGCCTGCAGAAGGAAACAGATGTGAAAAATAACATTACCCCAACAGAATACAAGTCCCGTTTGTCGTATAAATGCTCCCTTGGCCAGACCTTTTGCCTCAGAGACCCAGCAACTTTCTGAGAGCATGTAAACAAATATGACTTGAGGTAACACAGCTGTTGTCTTAGAGTCTGAAATGAACGTTTTTAAACATCACATATTTTATCTGCCAATTTTTAACTAACAAAAAGCAGATCAAATATAAAATCCTAATGACAGACATCATGATTTTAGTCATTAAATTTTCTCCCCTTACAGTTGTGAGTTACAGTGTAAAATTAAACATTTTCTTAATTTAAAATATGCATTTTAACTATTGTGATTCAAGAAATTTAAAATTGTATTGAATTTACTATATCCTTTATTTTGTTACAGCAACTCGAACAAAGTAGTAACAGATTTCATTCAGTTCACAAGACTTGATAATCATAAGTTAGTCATTTCCCCTACCTTGAGTTCATCAAGTTCTGGAACATGCACATAAAGTTTAGGATTGAGAAGCTCAACATCATACAATGCCTGGTCCTCAAACTCTTGAAGAAACTTGAAATTTTCCTTGGACACTGAGTGAAAAATCAAATGAAATATGTAATTTCATTACAATTAGCAGCATTTTTTAAAAGAAAATTAAAATGATTTTTACAAATGTCAGTTCCTCTAATAATTCAGAATAAAATTTTGGAAACTGATGGGAAGCTGTATTGATCATTACATGTTACTGGGTTCACCATCTGCGTAGGAGAGGGGGTGGATGTACTTTAAGGTAAACATTGAAACTCTATAAAAAAATATATCCCCCGGGGTTTGCAGTTTAGCCAAGAGGCTTTCCCAGCAAACAATTGGCACCATTTTCTCTTGAAGACAGATGCCATTATAATGAGCCAGATATTGATTAATCCACTTTACCTTTCCTTTTTCGAAAGTCCCAGTTAAAAACAATATATGATGGGATGTAAGACTCATTGTTTTCATGACACTCGTAACAATACAGACCACCATCAAATTCACACAGCCGAGGTTTGCCATAAACTGAAAAAAAAATTTTTTTTTTAAAAATGGAGTTCATTAATCATTGTTTACAATAATAAAAAATAAAATTATGTAACAGTAATCAATATTCATCAGCAAATTTGTAATAATGAAATCCTGAATACCTAAAAGGAAGCAGACCAATCTTAAATGTTAGATTGTCATGACAATGATGATTAGATAATATCTAATAGTTTCACGAATTAAAAAATTTCCCATTTCTTGATTCTGCAAGTTCTAACAAAATGGCAAGTTTTATTTATCTAGGCATGATCATACTTATTCCTATAGGCCTTGAACATCCACGGCAAGTGAAGTTTTGGTGACTTAGTCCATGCTCTCTAGCAATTTCAAATAATAAAATCATCCGAGAGCTCTGTGAATTAAAAGTAGTTATCCTCAGTTATTGGTAAAAAAGAGCAACATGGGTCATCAGGTAAACATTTTCAATGAAGCCCAACACCAATTGAAAATATTCACATGGCATGGCAATGCAAAAACAAAATAAAAAATTTGAAATAAGAATTTTAAAAAAAGACAACAAAATAACAGTGAAGCTTTATTACAATAACATAGATCACAAAGCTTGAATGTCAAGAAGCAAAGTCTCCCATGTGAAACAAAAAGTAGATCAAGGTAAAGTAATAAAAATGCTAATATCATCCTCTTTTATTTCCTTTAACTGGTTAAATACCATGAGCCAGCCAGTGGGAGTGGCGCAGCATTTCTACCGTTATGGCCACGAGCCGCTGATAGCGCCAATGTTTGTATCGTAGTAAATCAAATCAAATATTTATTATATTCCGTTCTCCTTCTGCTTTGAGATTTTAATTTACTGACAGGATGTTTATATTCGAACCGCATGCTATAGGCAGAATGTTTTAAAAAACGAGCTGTTAATTAATTTTGATTTAAATTCCAAGCTAGTTACAAAATTTTACTACTTGTTCACTGTGGCAACAAGTGGCAGGGTTACTAAAGGCATATAAGTGATTGGAAGTGCAAATATTGTTCAATTTCTGTGTTCTTTGGTGCCTATTTCTTATTATTGGATATACTCCTTTGAAAACATCAAATAAAAGGCTTTAAATAATGTGGAAATTTTTTTATTTTTTTTGTTTTTCTGTTGTAAATACTAATTTAACAATTAATTATTTCCTAACAAAACTTAACTTTAAAAATGTTTTATGTTTATCGTATAGACAATTCAATTACCTACCAAATGGTTTATTAATCATAAGCATATGTCTATAATTAAGAAAACTACAGCTAAATTTGTACACACACCTAAAATGAGAAGATGTGACCTAGATTTAATTCGGCCACAGCAGGTTTTTCGATCTGGTAGTTAATCAATACTTGGAATTGGCAGTTGTTTCACTGATCTAATCTCATATTTAGCTAAAACAACTTGTTTGGGTCATGACCACCAGTTCCTTGTTTTAATTTGTTAATGTATAAATTCTCCTTTGACATAATTCATATTTCTTTTATGCTAAAGAGAGGTTTCACCTTGAGCTCAACTTGGCTCTGATGAATTTTATTTCAATGACAAGCCTAACAAATCTAAACACTACAACCATGCACAAAACATGCATGCAAATCACACCCAAAAAAATGATTGAAATTGTCTTTGCAATATGATTCTTAAAAACATCAATATAAATTATTTATAATTTTTTATTTGCAAAAAAATATAAACATTTTTTTTTAAAATTTGGATGGGTTAATTAAGTCGTTACAAGTTGACAAGCCTTAGAAAGCTGAACTTAAATTACAACACAAATGCCATTATGCATTACAAATGAAAATACAAACCAATTTACCAAAACACTAATCATACACAGTTCAAGAAGAAAAAACTTTTCAAAATGACTCACAATAAAAAAAAAAATAACCCAAAGAACATTAAATGTTGAAAGTGATCGAACAAAACAGAGAAATAAAAAATTCTAACTGATTATAATGCACAAATAAAATGCACCAAGCAAATCAACAATCAGCAAAAGAGTTAGCCACCACCTTAGAAAAAGCAGGCCACTCACTGAATTGACAGGACCAAAGTTAGAAGTGTCAGCACACTGCACGACTTCAAAACCTTCTAGACAAGTGTCTTGGTGCTGGATTGACAGGAAGAGTCAAGTTTAATTCAAGTTACACATTACAAAGTGACGTCCCATGGTGTGCAAGTGGCACAGCTTTAGAATACCATCTATCTATTGATTTTTAGGGTGCTTCATTTGTAATTCAAGAGGGTTGGGCTTGCCCTTTGAAGCAGGGTGAGTGGATGTGGTTTGTTCGAGGACTAAAATGAATCTTTTAATTGGGGATATTTCACTAAATTTCAACTCCTCAACATGCAGAATATAGTTTGGACCGAGAGCTTGAAAGTGAAACTTAAATTAACGCCACTTTAAAAAAAAAAATTATTTCTCAACAGGCCAAAGAATATATAACAAATGTGTTTAGGTCTGTTGAAGTCATTGATATCTTGTAACATTAAATGAATGATGAAATCATCACATCACATAGATGATCAACATTTCAAAAAAGTGATAGGATATCCTTTTATTGAAACAGTATAACATTTTTAGTATTTCTAAAATAATGATAATGTTTTTTTAAAAAATGGAATTGACAATAGCTCTCTTTTCTGGTTTATTCTTGTGAACAGAAATGTTCAGTTTAACACAATTCCTAGGAATAAATGATTATTTTTTTTTTTACATCTATTAAGTTCAGTTGTTACCTGTGCAACATCAGATTTAGTATTTGAGGAACTTCCTTCTGACTTGAGACCGTCCTCAAATTCTGTAACAGGGAGAGATCCAATAACCTGGTCAAGAGTGACAATTGGGCTGCGGCCAGAAATGTCAGGCACATATGTGCGCAACAGTGAAGCAAAACTTTCAGCTGAAAGAAGGAGAGGGAATGATGAGTGAACATCTTCTGAAAGAATGAATGATGCCAGAGAAATAATGGTGTTAGTGTATTCATTTTTTTAAATACATACCTCGACCTTTGTCTGATTCATGACCCTGTTTTGCCCTATGACCTTTTCTGGACTCTATATCCGAAGACCATCCAGACATACCACTGAGGCTATTGCCAAAGTGACCGGACATAGATAGTTCATCTGCTGATTCATTCAAAGTGTTATAGATGGAAGCCTCCAGTGTGGTGTGATTTTCTGATGGAGCATGTGCAGCATTTTGCCCTTGACCTATAACATAATGAGACATTTCATTATGCCCAGCCTTTAGATGTGTGGCAATGTCATTAGACACCCAGGTCGTGGCCCCTGCATCATCAATGTGACTTTCTGCTTGTCTTGCATCTCTGACCTCCCTTTCCTTATCTGCCTGTTTGTCAAACTCTTCAAGCACTTTGTGTAAAATAGCATCTCGCTCCATGGAATCTAACCTTAGTGCTGGCAGATGGGCATAGATTTCTTCATAATTTTTCCCACTTGGATTAGCACAAATTTCCTCATAGTTTATCTCCCTTGGAACAGAGTCTGAGTCAGCTAATGTTTGTGACAGATCACCTCCCTTGCTTGCAGCCTCGTCTGGATGATTTTGAAAATGGAATGAATCATCTGATGACGCAGTACTCTCCCTCCCCACAGTTATAGCTTGCGCTGGTTCTTGCTTGGGGAACAAGGAGAGATCTTTGGGAGAATAATGTTTGAGCTCATCCTCATCTACTCTCCGACTTCTTGGCCTGGTCAGAGAATCAGCCAAAGAGGCTGTGTCATCTGAAATGACAATGGACCCCGTTGCCCTTCCAAAAACATGTTCACCAATCTCTGGGCTCGCCCTACTCAAGATGGCAGCCTGGATATCTTGACCAAAAGATGATGACCACAGGCCACCCTTGCAGTCCTGTGGGCTACTGTCAGCAGCTAGAAAAGCAGGGCCTTCAGTGTTACCTGATGCTGGTGAGTTTGGTAAGGATTTCTTGACAAGAGTTGTGAAATGTTCTGTGGAACTAGGTCCTGGATCGGGACAAGACACTTGTGAACATGTAGAACCCTCTGACACTGACAACAAGCTCACATCAGCAGCAGAGCTGGGATGGTCCACTACATTTCCAACGCCTGCAAACACAGGAAGATTTTCAACACCTGAGCTTGAAATGAGAACAGGCTCCTCCTTTCTAGTGACTTTAGACGAATCTTCCTTGATTTGCTTATTTGAAACATCTGAAATGTAAATTGATAAGCTTGTAGTGTTGGACAAATGTACAAACAGCATATACAATTTATTTCAACAAAATTTAAATATTATAAATCTTGACAATTAATCATTTTGTCTTGTGTTAGTCAACCAAAAGATCAGAAAGTACTCTCCGGCATTTAATGCAGTGGTTCTCAAAGTGTGGGGAGTGCGGGGGGCGGCGGCGCAGCTGGTGTGATAGCTCGGGGTATTGGGGCCTGCTCCCAAAGGGGATGCTAGGGAATTATATCAAGAATATTTAACAAAAAATGTAATTATATATTTTAAAGATAGATAAAGAACAAATAAAATAAGGCTGTGCGCTAATTATAATGTCGTCACTTTTCACACATAACTAGAAGAGATAAAAAGTGGTCTGATCCAACTTTCGGACAGATACACCAGTGGCTGTTACACAACAGGACGCCTTTACTTAGCTGGCCTGCCATCTGTTTATTGAAATGGACTTTAAAAGTTGTGGTTAATACGTTTTTCTGCAATGCATCTCATATAAAAAAAGAAACAAACAAAAAACACCCCAGATTTCTTGGGTAGTTACAAAATCTGGAGCATCACATACAGTAGGTGAAGAACTTACCAGGAAATAATGAGCTTCCGAGTTCATAGACACAATGCTGGTAGTATGGACATTTTATTATAGCTGACTGAGTCATTTTTGCATACAAAAATTTGTTCTTTCTCGTTTATGTACATTTTGAAACAGATGAGAGTATATCAAGCTCCGCTTCTCTGACACTTAGAAGCACATAATGGACGGGGGTGTGTCAAGCTCCGTTTCTCTGACACTTAGAAGCACATAATGGGAGGGGGGTGTTAATTTTTCATTTAGTTGAGCAGTCCTTCAAGGAAATTCCGCAAAACAACATTCTATTGCAACAGAGTGAGCACCATCAATGGCTGGTTGCAGCACTGGATTGTTGCTTATTTTTTGGCAGCGACGCGACCAAACACCTCGACTACTCACTGTGCAATTTATCGCCAATATCATGATGCAACAAAACTCGGCAACAGTCTGATAAAATACCACCAATAGCCGCAATAAATTAAGTTTGAGGAGGCCGTTGATGCTAGCAATCATCCATTACTCCCTGAAACATAACATTGATTATTAACCCTATAGCTGTCAAGTGCAATTTTTCTGTTGTGTCAAGCCATTTTTAGCATTTTAATCTGCTTGTCAAAATTGACAATATCCCATATTAAATGAATTCAGAGACCATTGCAAGTTACATTTTCTGAAAGTGCATTATGGTATGAAAAGAATTTGTTTTTATATTATGTATGTTGATAATGACAACAGAGTGAGTACAATTATAAAATTCATCTTCTGCCTTTAACTCAACTTTGTACTCCATAAATTGCTCAAACTATCATAAAATCAAGTTTTTGAGATACTAGAAACACTATTCTCTCAGAAAATGTGACATTATAGGTACTTATTTCAAATGAAAATTGGAATTTTTGTGAATTTCTTCATTCACTACATTCAAATTTCTGTCATAGTCATACAAAACACAAAGGGGAAAAGCACGAAATGAGTTCAAAAATCCTTTTCAATTGAAATTATTCAATCCATTTTTTAAATTAATTAATACTCAAATATCAATGTCTTTGATATTCTTTAGGGAAGGTCTAATCTTTGTCTTTTCTTTTAAATTCCCAGCCTGTCCGAACAAAGTAGTCTGTAACAATATGATCAAGCTTAGGGCTACAATTGTCAATATCTTACGCTTATGTCGCCATCACCACTATAGCTAATACTGTCATTACTATCACATGGAAAATCCCTGAAATCATTGCTTTAATTTTAATCCACTTGGAATGATAATTAACTGTTCAAGCGCAATAATGTTCAGTTATACTTTTTCGAAGAAACTGTGCCCAAGAAGAGAAATGTGGGATGCAATATGATTATTGCAAAATTTTGGGTTTGCTACTTATGATGATCCCAGAAATTTTATCATTTTCTTCTGAATTAGATAACAGATTGTGTGATAAATCTGTTTGATATTTGTGGAAGTTGATGAACTGGAGGAGGGGCTACTTTGAAATGATATTGAGTGGAAGCCAACATTTAAGAAATGACATCATCAAGCAATTTGATTTCAAAAGGATAATTTCTATAGCTATCATGCATGAATGAAGCTGGTTAACGAACTTGTCGTTTAATCCTAAAATTGTATTTGGTGGAAGGTGGTTTAAGTGCTGTCATTAAATTTCTGCTAAGAGACTTTAAACCAGGCATTAAAAACTGCTGTCACTTTACCAAAGCCCAAACATTGCCTCCAGATGTTAGATCCATAGAGCTGTTAATAAATACATTAAAGGGCTGTATGAGTTTTCAGGTCGCGATATCACATTATAACACTGCATGTACAATACATATCTAGATTTTTCCCTTGGATTGTGCAACAGAGGTCTCAAATATTTTTCTATGTTTTTATTATACATTAATGCTCTATGCCATGCACATAGCTTTCGATATTAAAAATTTAAAAAATGAAAGTGGCTGTTCAGAAAATCAATGCTTTACTGTATTATGTAGTTTGTAATAATAGAGCAGCACTGAGGGTGACATTATGCTCCCAAGGTGGCTGTTGCCTAAAAAAGTTTGAGAACCACTGCTCTAATGGGTTAATCTACATTTCTTAAATCAAATACCCTTTTGAATTTCATGAAATCCTCAATTATTGTCTGGCCAATCTGGAAAATTGAATCACACTGACCTGTAGTACTGCTAACACTGATGGCTGGAGGCGGCACACTTTGACTGTCCAGGAGTCCTGCGATCTGAAGAGTTGTGTTGTTCCAGCTGTTAAGAACACTTGCGTTATACGACAGTTTGAAATCTAAGCTCATCAGACCTGGAGGTGTAACATTAGTATGGAGAACAACTAATTGTATAGGATAACATAACAGTATGTGGCGCAACAATTAAATAACATCGTCCAAGCTCAACAAAAATCCAACAGATAAAGATGTTCTTCAACAGTATAGAGATCGTGAAATGCAAGAAACTCAACCATAGTGATGCCAAGAATCATTGCGCTTTGCAAAAACAATTTTTACCAACCTGTCAATAAATTTTTCAAAATTCCTGGTTGCTCAAAATCCCTTAGAAATGCAAAGGAGTGGTAAAAATATCTGAAAATAAATGTCAAACATACGTATCTATTAAAAAAGGTATCGTTATTACTTATCTACAAATGCAGCATCACAAAAAAATGTAATAAATAAAGGCAAAAAATTGAAAAGCTTACTTGAGAGTTTTTGTGTCCACAATCATGGAGTGTAGATAACTCTGCATGAGACCATCATTTAATGCTAACCTTATCCAGGCCTAAATGTAAACCAACAAATAAAAAATCAGATTAGTAAAACATCAGCTCTAAAGATAATTTAATTAGCAAAAACAAGGTTAAACAATCAAGCTAAATATAAACTAGATCAGCGCTTATGGATAATTAATGGATATCTAAAGCAGAATAAATGCCTGCAAAGACAAAGGGATGTTGGATTTCATTCTTAGCAGCAGTCAAATATTTTTTTTCTTCACATTTCTCTTTAAAGCATGATTAAAAATAATTCTTTAAAGGTTTTGTACAAATTAACTCCGATGACCTGAAATTTGATTACCGTTTTACATCCTTGGTAGATGAACTAAAATAATCTATGAGAATTAAAAACACATTACACAAGACCAAAATTACCCGACACCAGCCAATATTTGTATTGATCTGTGACAGTGCTTGTAGCTGTACAATAACGTCACTGTGTGTGAACTTGGCCACCACACTCCAAAAGTTCTGTCGAATTAATGTAGCCAGATAAAATACCAATCAAATACAACCATACAGCTGTTTATTCACCAAATTTATCCAGGCAAAAATTGCACATTTTTTCAATGAAAATAATTGAACTGTAAACTCATTAGACTAATCCTAAAATAATTTTAAAAATAAATAAATATGCATAAACTCACTGGGCCTGAAGTGGAGTCCGTTGTAACGGCAGACAACCCCACATATGCTGTAATCTGATGAAGAAAATAGCATTTTCAATCAAACAAAATCAAGCATTAATTTAAAGACCATTAAAATTCAGATTAATTCCAATGAGTTTTACAAGATTGTGTCCAATTATAAAAAAAAAATGTTGTGACAATGTGATGGCACCAAAATACATTGCTTTGATAGCATGCATAGTTGGGAAGAAATGTCTACTTCACATAACATGTTAGCATCAGTGCACACAGTCTTTAACAGGTGCTGGACCATTTTGTCATGCAGACCTCCCTTCCCTTTCCTCTGTGAACTTTTGGTTACAGCCCTGTCATGAAGCCTATTAACAATGTGTGTAACCAGGCAAACAAGACCCTGGGGTTCTTGAGGCGTAATCTAAAGATTGGCAACTCCAGTGTGAAAGAAAGAGCCTATAAAGCCTTTGTCCGTTCGGTTTTAGTATATGCATCTTCAGTCTGGGATCCATTTACCCAGGAGAGCATTGACAGGTTGGAGGCGGTCCAGCGACAGGCAGCACACTTTGTCCTGAACCGCTACAGGAATACCTCTAGTGTTGGCAGCATGCTGGAAACACTAGGCTGGTCACCATTGGAGGAACGACGACGACAATCCAGGCTCTCCATATTGTATAAAACAAATAATGGGCTAGTCCACTGTTCCAGTATTAAACAGAAACTCGTTCCTCCCCCCCCCCCCCCCCCCCCCCCCCCNCCCGCCTAGACAGCGACGAGGCCATGACAAGCAATTCTGGTTCATACCAGCAAGAAGCCAGTATAGGAACTGCTCATTCCTGACAAAGACAATAGGAACTGCTCATTCCTGCCAAAGACAATCAGGGACTGGAACAAGCTTTCAAAAGAAACAGTTGAAGTGACAAAACTAGACACATTTGCATCTTTTGCCTCAAGCCTTTCAACCCCCAGTGCATGATTCCCTCACAAAGTAGCACATGCTATCAGTGAAATACCCTCATCAACACCAGGCACAGAAGCACTGTAAATCCCCTCTACATGCATAGGAGCCAAAATGATCAATAAATTGATCGTGGGCCCTTAATATATAGAAGAAGAAGCCTTGGTTGTCTTTCTGTATACTGATAAGCAAGATAGGCAGGTTGAAAGCAGGTAGAGCTGGCATACATTCTCATTGCTGCTCATCTTCATTTACAAAGCCGTTCATTGCATAAATTTGACAGATAATTTGTTTCCCTTTCAAAATCACCTTATGAGCAACAGAGTCTTTGAGACCATGCAGAAAAACAGCTTCCAAAGCATTGCAGAGGTTGTTGGAGGCATCATCACTGCAAGAAAATTATTTGAGGTGATTTTTTTTTCTTAACACAAGGCAGATAAGTTAAAAACAAAAATAATTTGGAGAAAAAATATGTGTATAGGCAATCATTGAATAAAATGTGAAAATCAGCCCAGGACATCTTGCACTTTTCTACAAAATATCATTGAAATTTAAACACTTTCTAATAAGTTTCAACTTTGATTGGGAAAAAAAATTACAGTAAACTTAATTATTTTTTTTAAAGCAAAGCCCAACAAGTTTTAGAGAAATGTTCCATTGATTATAGAGAGATTAAATTGTACATTAAAAGAATTTTTTTAATATATTAACTGGTGAAAAATAAAAATAAAATATACAATTAATAAGGAGATTATTGTGACTAACTACCTGTGAATAAACTCACTGACATCAGACAGGAGGTGTCTCTGTTGTAATACCTTTAAAGTCCTGGCAAAATGGCTGGTAATTCCCCGCTTAATATTTGTTTGCTGGATCCTATCATGATTATCATCTGTCAGAGATGTACACATTTTTTTTTCCACTTGTAATTATTCTTTGTCAAATTCTCTAAACCGATTTTAAATATGATCTATTTAAATTTAACTGGTCTCAACTTAACTTATTTACTTTTAGTTTCAATTGCCTATTAAATATTTTCATCCCCATGATCATTTCTCATAAATCTTTTATCCTAACAACTGTCACTACTATTGTCACTACCGTATCAAATGTAACAAACATTAAGAATTATTCCTTCCCAATTGTATGCTATATTCTGACCAGGAAGCAAATTAATAATTCAAATGACCATTGTTCCTCAATAATTATGTCATTATAGCTTGCTATGTGTGCCTTTGCATTTTTGGAGAAAATTAAATTACTTATGGTGTTAACTGAAGATAATCAACTACCATAGATACTGGTTCGAAAGCCACTTTGTTCATACGCCAACCCCCTTATTGTGTTCCTTTTGTGATGCAGAGTAACTAAGCCAAGCAGAGTAACTAGGCCAAGCTTAGTGCAGATGTTTTAATATTCACTGGTAGCTCAATGGGTTGTAAAGTTGTCATGTGTTCATTTATTGCATGTTACATATCATAATACTATTGTCAATTACAGGGATCAGGAACCTATGGCTTGCGAGCCAGATGTGGCTCTATTGATGGCTGCATCTGGCTCGCAGATACATGTTCGATTATAAAAAAAGTCACATTAATGGTAAGAAATACTCATTATTGAATAGCAACAGCATAACAATGTTATTAAAAAGAATTCAGAAACATAATTATTGCATTTTTAGTGTTGAAAATACACAAAATGCACACATTTACTTGAATTTTTAGTTTTAAACATAATATATGGCTCTCACAGAATTACTTTTCAAAATATGTGGTGTCCATGGCTCTCTCAGACAAAAAGGTTGCCGACCCCTGGTCTATTATATTACAGATCATCAAGATGGATGGAAAGTGTCAGTTGTGATGAGCCCAAGATTTAGTTCATCCTTCGAAAATGACCATGGCTTTAACTTGAGTAGTAGCCCTGAATTGAGCTGTAGTTTGTTTAAAGTGAGGTAGAGTTGCTCAATTCGTCAGCCTCACTCTCTCATCTTTGCCTATTTGTTATAATGGCAAGACTTAGTCAAGACGACTGGAAACAGACCAGGATGCAGTGGATGACCAGCAGTGTATCTTGTGCCTCACTGTGCTCGTTATGTGCTCCCCGTCACAGGAGTTGTTGGAATTTTCATAGTGTCATACTGTCTACAGGACCCCATATCTCTGGGTTTGATTTCAGAGTTTGCCTTCTCTTAGATCAGTTGCCCTCTAGGTTAACTAGACCCATCCAACCGGGGTGATGGTGCTGTTTTTGATTGCCTAGGCTATTGCTGGAGATTGAACTCCAGTTCACAGACTTGTGATTGACTCAGTTTAGACCACTCGGCCACCCAGCATCCCTAAGAAAGAATGCAGTAAATGGCTGGTTGACTTCAAGACTATTTCCACAAGTGCCACAGCAACTATGAAGGAACTTGTTCAGTTGTGGGACAACACAGGTATTCCTTTTCATAAGGACTGCCACATCATCACAAAAAAATATAGAGGACCTAAATATGTCTTAAATTATTAAAATTGGATTAAGAAGAAAACATCTTGGACAACAAACTCACAGAAGGAAAATGAAAGCCAATTTACTAAAAGTTTGCATGATCTTTTTGACGTGGCACAAGCTGAAGCTTGATAAAGCTCTGGCCATGATAAAGCTACCTCAAAGCAGAGACTTCCTATAGGCACAAAGAGAGGAATGGAGATGTGGTAGCATGGGTCTGGTTTACATAGTATTGGCTTGTCACATTTATATTCAGAGTAGAGTGAAGTGCAGACATTCATTTTAGGCTCTCAGAGCTTACCACAACCTCGATGGATGGCGAAGATGATTTAAAGTCTCAAAATGTTCCTGTTACTTTATCTATTCGGACTGAGTGCACGTAAACATTCACCTCAAGGCTATTGCAATACTTTCGCAATGAAGGTCCAGTTGAAAGCATAATTTAGATGCACATGTTCCTCATCTGCTACGAAGAATGACCCAGATCTACCCTGTGAGTTGGAGGGCTATAAGTAAAAACACGAAGTTATAAAGTCATTCTCTGGACACTTATGGTGCTCAAGTGATATCCTGGTTAGTTTTGCATTCTTTGACTCTGCAGTGTCAGGTGAGCTGAATGCAGCCATGGTTACAACACTTCACACAAAAATATCAGATCATCCTGGACACCCTGCCTGCCACCCCACACTACTTGGGAATCAGCTGTCTGACTGTATAGCAACACACCAGACAACCTTTCCTAGCATTGGATATACAACAAACTTTCCTCATCAACAATCCAGATGCATGGAGCAGAAACTATAACTACATTGTTGGCCAACAGAAAGTGGGGGGGGGGGGGGGGGGGTCTGGCCTTTAATGGAGCCCTGACTAATCAAGAGGAATGGAAACAGTACTTGCTGAAGTTTAATAGAAGCACTGCCATGCCTCTCAAAAACCCAACAATTCAGCCTTTACTGCAGTTCATGCAGCAACATCTACATCAGCAGATAAAAAAAAAGATATTTTGAGATTCATGTTTTCTGTTTGAGTTAAACATTTTTTTTCAAAAATGTTTAAATTAACTTCTAAATCCTCATGCCTCATTTTATAGTATTTTTTAAGAGTTTTTACAGCATATTTTCAATTGTTATGTTTAAGTTATTATTAAACAGTAATATGAGAAAATGTCGCATATTGCAAAAACTTTTCAGCGTTGAGCTACCAGTAAATATAATTGGAATACATCAAAGTTTTTTAGGCTTTTGGCTTTTCACATTATGAAAAATTTTATTTATACACCAAAAATATTACAGTACATACTCATTCTAAAGCTATTCCCTCATAAGCCTACCTTCTAGTTTTGGCTGGGGAAAGCATAGAAAGTGTAAAACCTGCTCTTCAGCCGACCCCATAAAATAACTATGGTAGTGTAAACAATATGCTACTAAAGAAACTATTTTTTAGTGCTCCCCGAGTCAGAGGCAGGCCGAAAATGCCGCCCCTCAATATAAAGAAAAAAGAATAATGTGGAGCCCTCTCTGTCCCACTTCTTTTGCCGCTTGTCTGAGCATTAGGGTTACAGTAAGTTGGGTGGAATGAAAAACAGTTTTTCTGGAACAATGATCTCAGTAAATGCCCTAGGGCAGTGGTCGGCTAACTCATTAGTTAAAAGAGTCCAAAATCAGCGGCAGGGCGATTAAAAAAATTTTGAGAACCAAATTTTTTTTCAAGAACCTGTCAAGAACCATATTTTTTATAGTCAAAACCCATTTTTGGCCAACTGGCAGAGCCAAACCAGGTCGCTAAAGAGCCGCAATTTGCCGACCACTGCTCTAGGAAATATGTTAATAATATTGATTGGACCGGGTAATCAGATTGCAGAGCAGCGTTAAATGCACTCTACAATTACATTAAAAGTGATTTGAAAAAATTAGTTGAAGCAGATCAGTAACTGTAAATTTTGAAATTAGTATTTTTTTCGGGGGGGGGGGGGGGGCGTAACAGGACGGACTAGAGGTTTGTGGTGTTTTGGGAGCCAAACTTTTTGTGAGAACAGAGGTGGAGTGGAACCTGCAAATATAGTGTGAAATCATTTATCATGGATGGTCCCGGCCCCTAATTACTAATACATTGTCACAAATTCATGATATCCTCCCAACCTAGATGTGTGACATCATTTATGGATGGCCCCCAACTACAAATATCTTCATGTGGTCAGACCTGTGCCGAGGAAAAGTGGTTCTCGGGGCAAAATCTGAAAATTCATATCCTCAATATAAAGAAAAAAAGACTCTGTAGAGCAGACTAGTAAATTAACAATTTAAATAGGATTACATGATTGGAGTAGGATTTAAAAAATGGTAATTGATTTTTTTTCTTTTTTTTTTTTTTTTTATAAATTTGTTTATAAAGATTTAACATTAAAATCATTAATAGTACTTACATCAATTTTTTAAATATAAATTTAATTTTTTTAAATCTAAAGCAGATTATTATCTTAAAATTTTTTTTTTTTTCATTTTTTGTACCATATATTTTAACTCTTTCGCTGCAGAATTTTTTTAATGAAAAAGTGCTTTTCAAAGCGCAAAAAAGAGTGAGAGGTTGGGTTTAATAAAAGTTATTTTTTTTTAGTTTATAAGTCTAAATTTGGAATCAAATGAAAGATATATGAATGGACTATAAGTTTGACAACTTATTTCTTCAGCTTAACTAAAATAAGTAACAGAAACTAAACTTAAAATGTGAAAACATGATATGTAAAACCATTTTTTCCCCAAACCCTTTGATGTATAGGCCTACCAGGCCTGCACAACACCAGTACCCGCCAGTACCCACTTTGCGGCCCACAAAGCAACAAAATATTTTTATTATTATTTATTCTTAATAGCTCGCCGTATTTTCTTTTGGCCCGCACAAGTTTTTCATAAAGTATTGTGGTCCACCTTACATTTTGAGTTGTGCACGCCTGATGTAGAATACATTATCTTCACTGCTATAACTCAAATCATCTAAAACTATTACAATCGGAATCATGCGATGAATCTAAATCTAAATCAACTTCATCAACAAAAGAAATAGTATAAAACATTTCCAAATCGTCTTGGAAATTTACCCCACTAGTGCCTAAGGTAACTATAGCAACAGTATTGATATAGAAAAAAAATTAAAGAATATTAATAAAATAATGCTTAAAATGACCAAAAATAAACCTTGGTTTCTCTCATAAACAATGAAAAACCACTCTTCTATTTAAAAGTCTAATTAATACATAGCTCTTAAAAAGTTTAACAGAGAAATAACACAATATTGAAACAACGCACAGAGTGTTAGTTTGTGCTATTTAGCATGGTGGATTAACGGACTGTGCATTGCACCGCAGCGAAAGAGTTACATACATTTTTTGGATTTAAATTCGATTGAACCCCAGGGGTTCGGTGAGTCAGTCTCAGGGGTTTGGCGCAGGTCCAAAAAAAATCAGAAAAATTTTAAAGGAAAAGAAGGGTTCGGTGAATGCACATACGAAACTAGTGGGGTTCGGTACCTCCAAAAAGGTTAAGAACCACTGCTCTATATGCTAATAATTTATAGGCAATATAAAGATGATGTTGGTGCCTGCTTTGCCCACCCCCCCCCCCCAGTTTTTCCGCACGGTTCTGCATTAGGCTCTTTGGGGTTTAAGTTGAATTTGTTTGAGATCCCTACTGACTACTACCAGTAGGCCCTACTGCCTAGGGCCCTAAATAGACTACCCAGTATTAGCCAGCAAGTTTACTCAGTGTGACTGAGTAGTCTATGTCAGACTATGAGTGGAAGTGTAGGGCCTACTTATGAATAGTAACCTTCATTGCGTTTAGCATAGATCTATTTTTTATTTAAAATAGTTTTTCATGTAGTAGTCCAAAGTAAGTATGTAATGTAAATATAGGTCTATCAAGTATCTATCATTACTATCAACAAAAAGTGATATTCATATCTTCATATTCAGATTCACCAACCAAATCAGCTCATTTGTTGAAACAATGTAAAGTAATTTTTAGAGTTTGAATTACGAAGACGAAGTTTAATCAAGTCATCAAGTGTTTTTAAATTATTAATGTGTTTTTTAACATTATTAAATAAATTATATTATTTTAGTTATTATCAGGCTGATTAATGCCATTTATGGATTAACAAATTAATTTGAGACGCAAATCTACCACCAAGTCAAGTCACAAATGTTCAATCATATTCAAAGGATTTAAATACTTATTACCCTTCCGCCTGAACATTATATCTTTTTTATTAGCCTCCCCTCAGCTGTTAAGAATCATATCAACTTTCTTTCCTAGCGACTTGCGTGTGTTATCTTTTCGAACACGCACACAAGTTTCCCAAATTGTAGGCCTAATATCAGATGAGATGTGTTGTTGCTTAAACAACTTCCAAATATCAAAATATGCCAGATTTTTCAGGCATTGTGTAGAAAACTAAAAGTTAACCTGTGATTGTACTTTCTTATAATTATAATTTATCTTAATTTAACGTGCTTTTTAACTTTTAAAAAAAATATTTCATTAGCATTTAGGGCTGAGCCGGTGCATTTTTTTTAAAAATAGGAGCTGGGAGGAAGGATATGCATAAATAAAAATGAACTTGTCCCCTGGGTGCCAAACATTCCAGCTACGCCCCTGGAAAGAAAAATAGTTTATTTGGCAGATAATCTTGTTTCAGCTCTCAATTAAGGTAATTATACAATTTTAAGTGAGTTAATTATTATTTTTTTTTAGACATTGTTTGATCATTGATATAATCTGTCCTCGGCAGGTTTGAATTTGAGAAAAAGTTTCATTGATATTAGTATGCCTACTTAGCCTACTATTAGCATTTATTTATTTATTTTTCAAAATCAAGAGACAAATTTGTTGACAAGAATGAAAAAGATACAAATGAAGTGCCAGTGCCACTTGGCTTTGGGTGTGTGGAATGCACTCTGCAAAAGATTTTACCAAACCCCTAATTTTTTTTTCGAACTTATATATACCCAACTATTTCCGTTTCAGACGGCTCTGGTTATAAGCCTTTCATATTTCTCATATAAGTCCTCATTGCCGGCGCACGCTACTAATGTTGGAGTTATATATCAGCAGGGCCAGGAATCTGTTCCACAAACCATGTTCTTTTGCTCTACATCTTTTCTCTTCGGATTTCCACCTTTGCGTTTTCCCTCGAATTTTAATATTTTCCTGTGAAATAACCTTCGTCTCCAGCAATGTGAATATGCACATAAGCGCCCGCAATATGGGCCGAGGTGGGTTACATGACAACCCCCCCACCCCCACTATAAATAAATAACAAACATTATTAGCACGTTGTCCATATAAATATAAAATAGTTTATATAAAAATAAATAGTATTATTTTGTACATGTCACAAATGACCAGGGTTAAGAAGGGGACACGATGGGCGTAGGTACTGTTCTCAAGTACAATAGGTGACGGAGTAGTTAACCCACATCGACAGAGTTTATAAAAGCACAACAGGGAAGACAGGATAACTTGGGAGGCAGGAAGACACCAGGTGGACAGTGTGGGAATGGATATCACGAATGAGTTCGAGTGATGCATTTTCTAGTTAGCTGGTAAAAGGGGAATATTCATGAAGACCGTGGGTAGCATTAGATTAATTATCAGTGATAGAATTCTAGGTAGCTGGTAAAAGGGGAATATTCATGAAGACCGTGGGTAGCATTAGATTAATTATCAGTGAAAGAAAAAAACAACAAAAAAAAAAAAACTCTCAGCATGACAGACGCTAATAAGTGGGTAGAGATATGCAGTGGCGTAGCTAGAGCTGGTGTCACCCGGTGCGGTAAACTCATGGTGTCACCCCCCCCCCTTTTTCACCAACTTCAATGATGGATTTCTACTTGTTAAAATAAGTCCACAGTATAACAATGACAAGAACAAAAATACATACATCGAAGGTCATGAGGTCAATGTATTTAAATCTGTAACAACGTTAAGTTATAGGTTTTTTTTACATTCAATTTACTTTATTTAAAATTGTCTTCAAAGCTGCAAACCTGTCAATCACTTGATCAAACTCAATGTCATTCACTGTATCACTTCCAATTAATAGCAGAGCCGCATCAGAAAGCCTAGACTTTCCCATGGTGGATCATAAATATTTATTGTAGTTTTGATGAGCTCTGCACACAAGAAGCCACATACACACATATTGTAAGAAAAAATTAAAGACTTAGCGAGAGCATTGGAGGAGATTCTATGAGGTCCTATTCAGCTATGAATTTCAAAACATCAATAAATACTGACCAGTCCTTGAATTTGTGAAAATTAATATCAGCTGCCTTCAGATAACTTCTAAGCCTTGGTATTTCTTTTAAAAATTCATCTTCTAATAACTCATCATAGAAAGAGGTTAATTTTGGAACGGACACCAATAACTCTTCTTCACTTGCTGATACTAAAATCTTGGGTCGAAAAGCCCCAAACATATCTGCTACTTCCTTGGACTCTAGTGATCTGATCTGGCCTTCAGAATGAAAGCGATCAATACAAGCCAGGATCCCCCTACTGTTTTCTTCCCGCAAAAAGAGTCCACCATCTATTAATTGTTCTCCTACCATTCTCTTCTTCAACCTTAATCTTCTCTCTACCGATATTCCATTCTCGTGGAGAAACAATCTTAAGGCCTCTAGGTTTGTCACCACTTTGACAAGAGTAAGCCTTTAGTTTGCAGATACTGCTGTGTAAGATTAACTTCCTCGAGTAGATGAGCTCAAAGGTAGAGGTAGCATATAAATGTGAAATCACAGACAGCATGTAAAAGACCTTGTGCTGTACCTCTTGTATCTGAATTTTCAAGAGGATTACACAGAGCTTCAATCACCGCCACACATTCATCAAACTCATCTTTCACTGTTTTAACAGCAGCATGATGATCACTCCAACGCGTTGTTGACAGTCTTTTCAACGACATCACAGTGTGTTCAATTAGAACATTCCATCGATGAGTGGATGCAGCAAAAAAGGAAAATATTCTTTCAAGATTACCGACAAATGTAATACATGAAGCATTTTCTGCAAAAGAGTTTTGACCAAAAAAGTTAAGTGAATGGCCCACACATATATTAAAAATTGCTTTCTTGTAATATTTCTTTTCATGATGGCCTCAACACCTCCATGGATTCCAGACATTGTGGCAGCATAATCGTAACCTGGAGCTCTGAACATCATTATTTCTAGTCTATACAATTTTAGATTTTTAAGAATTTCAGGGCTGAGGTCATCAGCTTTTCCCCCTCTTAACTTCAACTTTCCCCTTGTTGATTTTCACATATCTGATCACTTTGGATATCTAGTCACTGTGTGATATTACAGGTGTACTTTCGAACATAATTCCAAGATACCTCGCAGCCTTTATATCCATGATAAGAATCTCCTTCACATGATTTGCTAGGACATTTATAAATTCATTTTGGGTTTCTGGTGAAAGTTAAGATGTGGATGCTTTTTCTGTAGATGTACTCCTCTCTAGTCTCATTTGGTGCTCTTTTATCACTGAGTCATATTTAGATAGCATCTCGACCATTTCAAGAAAGTTTCAGTGAAGATTCAACTTCGTTGTGGCCACGAAATGCCAGATTTTGCTTTGCAAGAAGCAATGTGATATCCAGCAACCTGTGGAGGATATCCCTCCACTTTGTCTTCTACCTGTCCATCACAGCAATACTTTCGGCATCAATTGTTTTGTGTATCCTAAGTCCTGCTGCCAATGCTTTCCACTTTTCAAGGCAACATAGGTGCTCTTCCGATGCCTCATGATTTTGTAATTTTGGGCTCAGTTTCCACCACTTATCAAAGCATCGACCTTGAACTTTAAATAAAGCACGCATTTGGATTGGTTACACTTGTGAAAAATGTATGTGTGATCGGTTATACTTTTATGAATCTCGGTTGTGAGTGCTCAGTGTGCTCTGTAACTATGCAATTTTTCAATTGGGTGTCACCCCTAAAAAGGTGTCACCCGGTGCGGTCCGCACCCCCGCACCCCCCTCGCTACGCCACTGGAGATATGGGCTAAGCGTGGGGGGTAAAGGATCTGGTCGGGAGAATGCTGTCTTAAATGAGGTTGCAATTCAGTGATCATGGGACGCGTAGAGTTTATTTTACAGTCACGTTAGGGGAAATATAAGGGAACATTTTTTGGAGACACGATTAGTAGAGTTAGAGATTCGTGGACGATCATTCGGAAGTGATAGAAATAGTGGTATTAGTCGTAGTCAAAGATAAACCTACGGATAGTTAGATTGATGGATCCCAGTAAAATTTAAATGGAAGTTGAAATTCAAAGCTGAATGGGAGTTCCTAGAATCTCTTCCAATACTCTCGCTAAGCCTTTAATTGTTTCTTACGATCTGTGTGTATGTGGCTTCATGAGAGCGGAGCTTTTCAAAATTAAGGCTTATCAAGAAATATTTATGATCCACCATCGGACAGTCTAGGCTTTCTGATCTGGCTCTGCTATCATTTGAAAGCGATACAGTGAATGACATTGATTTTGATCAAGTGATTGACAGGTTTGCAGCTGTGAAGGCCAAGAAAGGAACATTTTAAATGAAGTAAATTTAATGTAAAATAACTATAACTTAACGTTGTTACAGTTATTAAATACATTTACCTCCTGACCTTCAATTAGTTAGTTTTTGTTTTTGTCATTGTTATAATGTGAAATTATTTTAACAAATAAATCCCTCTTGGAAGTTGGGGTGAAAAAAGGGGGGGGGGGGCACACCATGAGTTTACCGCACCGGGAGAACACCAACCCTAGCTACGCCACTGGTTATACCCATCAATGATTTTGATTTGGGTCGATATCTTCAGTCAACATCACAACAGCCAGTTGATTTAAAATATCTTTTAACTTACACCCATAACGAACAATATATAGTTATAATATATAGTAACAATTTCAGTAAGGATAGATCTTCCAAAAAACAACTAAANCAAAAAACAATAAAAAAAAAAAAAAAAAAAACGCCTTCTACATGCCTGGCTTGACCTGTTTTCTCCGTGGCTTGCCTATACTTGTCATCTTAAAGATCCAGTATGTATAGTTTGTATTGTTTTCCGGCAACACATTCATCGCGGGTACCAAGGCGCATTTATAGCACCACCTGTCGCTAAGTACAATGACTTTCTGGAGGTGCTCGTAATCCTATGGAACGTGAGTGGCACAAACGTACTCAACGGGATGCAAAATCATTCTTGAGCATCATTAGGAATAAGGACTGACATATCCTAAGTCAGATAGACAAGTGCAGTTCTAATAATATTTTAATAAACTCGAAATAAGCCTTTGCCAGTATTCTCCACAATCATTTTCTGCACAACACACGACATCGCACTTCGTGGTAGAAATAAGGACAGTG